ACACGAGTATATGAAAAAACGTGTTTTGTAGCGCATGAGATACATGTTCAGCAAAAAGAAACAGTTGGCGATTAACAAATTTATTGCGCATTTCTTATAGTTAGTCACTCTGTGGCATATGGAGACTGTTAATTTCGAGCTATACTATACTGGTATATATAAATCGTAATTACCTAAATGATTATATCCATTTGACACAAAATCTTTGAAACATTTCCATGTTTTTCATCTGCTTCTTCAATTACAGGAGACATGTTCCATTTAACGATTCGACCAGTGTTCATACCTACAATTTTTAAGGACAGTTTAAAAATTATAATGGAAACATATTTTCTTATTTCTGAGGAAATTTTAACAATTTTAATAAAAAATAAAATGTGAAAAAAATGAAAAAATAATAATGAATGCAATAGAAACTTTTGTATCAATCAGCAACACAATTGAAATTAAAATTTTTCATCTTCAGAGCTCAAAGCAACATATCTCATGAATTTAAATGTTGCACTGAGTAAGTTTGCAAGTTTAAAAAAAGCCAATGTGTCTAATATTACCAAGGGTCCGTCCAGACATTTTGTGAAAGGTTTTTTCACAATTTTACAAAAACAGACAACTCATAATTTGTGAATAAAAAACAAGCGTTAATTCACATTCTGTCAACCAGGTTTTGTGAATTTATGCAAATATGGTCCTGTTATTGCAAAAATTGCTAAAAACCTCTTCAAGAATTTTTTAAGTTGTGGATAGATACAAGATTCTGCTCAACAATTGCTGCTACTAAATTAGAGATGTAACATACAACAAGATTCTGATCAACACAGAATATTCATTTCGAACGAATAATAAAAAAAAAAACAAATTCACTCGCATTTTTTAATAATTTTATATGACATATTTTAAATATTGCAAATTAGTTACGTATCACTTTCAATGTGTTACGCAATAAGTAAATTTAAACAATTCTTCAATTCATAATATTTTATTTAAAAAATTGCCAGAAATGAATTTTTGTTTACATAATATTCTATTAATTAATTTTTTGAATAAATATAAATTGATCAATTATTTATTTACAAAAAAAATTATCATTTAATATCAATAAGAATGCGCACACGATGTTTATAAATTTAGAAACATTTTCTTAGAATACTACATTTGGAATTTAAACTTAGGGAAACTAGAAAAACTTAGTTCGTTTCGAACCGTCTTTTTGTCCCCCCTCCCTCGGAAGGGTTTATTCGATTAAAAAAACAGCAATGAAGATAAGCAACTCAGTTAAGTGTCCAATTAAAAGATAAAAACGGACCCTTCACAAAATAATTTATGAAAAAATATTTTGTGAAAGGTCCGTTAACGGACCCAAATTTCTTCTAAACAGACCTCTGATTACAAAACTAAAAGAAAGTAATAATTATATAATATTAAACATGGTAAACAGTTTCTTCAAAATAGAATTTTAAAAAAAAGTAAAATTAATTTTTTTAGAGAACAGTTTAATTGTCTATACTCAAGCTTAACATGCAAATAAATTTGTGAATCTGAAATTCCAACAAATTTATTCAAAAAAGTTATTTCACACTTAAATATAAGATTATTTTTTTACAGGGTATCTGCTACATTTATTTTTTTGAAATTCATGACTTAACAAAGTTACTATTTTCTCTGACAAAAATAATAACTTTAAAAAAAGCATTATAATTACATTAATTGAAATGATAGGTATAACCAAAACTGTTATAGTCTGCATCTTCACATTTAAAGATTTTAAATTTAAAAAACAGTGTAAAGAAAGAGTTGAAGCAATAAAATAGCTGGAAAAGAATACAAAAGCAAAAAATTTTTTTTTCTGCAGAATTATATTCTATAGATACTTTTCACGTTCATGTGAAAGGAAGAAATACTCCTGATTTTTCTGTTCTCATTTCGGAATAAAAAAATTTGCCAATGACTGGCTTGCTTCAGCTAGAATTTTGAATTGATGAAATAAAAAAAATAAATGATAAAATAATCTGACATAACAGAAGTTTAAAAAATAGTTCGCTCTAGAAATGATGTTTTTTTTCTTCATTTTTTGAAAGAACACCATAATTCTTAAAGAACATGATAAAAACATTTTATATTTTAATAAAATATGACTGTAAGTGGGGATTTTGTTATTAATTCAGATATTCAGAACACCACGAAATGTGGGGGGGGGGTAAATTCCATTTCAAAAATTATATTTTATGGCAACCTAAATCTATGACTTTCCATGATTTTCGTTTTAAAAAATAGTTAAAATCATGACATTTTATGACAAATTTCGTTCAATACCGAAATCTATGACCTTCCAGGTGCACAGATATCCTGTTTTTTTAAAAAAGGAGTGATAAATATTGATTCTTTTTTAATAAAAATCATACAAAGCCTTGTCACCAATCTATAATTTCCAAGTGATGAAAGGATTTATAACCATTCATGATCAGCTGAGGTGTGGACAGCTATCTATGAATGTTGTGTAATAGAATTAGAAATAGCATTTTATGCAGAGAAAATTTAAAGGTTGATAAAATAGTGCATGCATGCTAATTGAAAAATCTGGCTGGATGCTAAATGCCAAGTAAGCATTGAACATTGAACCAGGCCAATTGGACAAATTTTGAACATTTTCTAATCATCCTGATATTGTTTAAGCTTTTCAAGAGAGTCTTGTTCCCTTAGAGAAATTGTAAAACATAAGTTATTGCTAGAGTTCTAAGAATTGGAAAAATGTTGTTAGCTGCCAAAACTTTGTGTTTGCTAGTAAAAATATTAGCACTTCCTCTAATCCTAGTTTTTTTTCATTCAATTCATTGAAATTTTGTTAAATAAATCCATGCATAAAATCAAATAGATACATCAGAGTTCCCACTAAATTTTTTAACAAAATTCTATGACTTTCAAGGACCAAAAATCAAGTTTTTCAAAGACCTATTCGATATTACAGTTATATGCTTAAGTACATGTCAATCATATTTTACAAATACGCAGAAGCAGAAATTTTATATTTTTAAAGCACAATTCTTATTTGACACCAAAAAAAAATTATTTATTAAATTTATCAGTTAATAATACAAATCGTTGTTAATATATACATTGTTGCTTCAAATCACTTAAAAACTCATATTGTCAGCAAAAAAAAACCCAATTGACATACGAACGATACTAGCCAACATTTAAAAACTAGTTTCAGTGAAACTCTTCATAAAAATATTAATGAAGTGAATAAGAATTAATGAAACTGAATTAATGAATAATGCATACTACATTAAACAAGTACAGTAAATAATTGATAAAGTTTTTGTGATTGTACGGTTATTAAAATATAAATACTATTTTTTAATATGTTAGATCAAATTTTAGGTTACAGGAAATGGATATAATTAGATAAAATATCAAAATGCATCCATTTAGCATATCTGTTTCAATTTTAATAACAAATTATCGATTTTGTTACATCAGAATATCAGTAATGTATTTCAAACATAATAAAATCTGTTGTAGAACAATATTCTACAGATAACTAAGATTCACCAAGCTGCTTTATTTTCTTTAAAATATATCCATAAAATACGAAGCAAAACTTTGTGAATATGCGTAATTTTCACTAAGCATAGTTTCTAAATTGCATTTACATAAATCTAATTTACATATATACTATATGCAAATCAAAATTATAAGAAAAGTTAAGCAAATCCCAAAGACTGTAAATTACGGATCACAATGTGTGATTTGTAAATTGAAATTGAATTGCGGTGTATGTTTCTTAAATTAGAACAATATGAATAGCAAATGATACAAAACGCACGAAGTACTAGTGTTCAACTCCATAGTCTTGTCATTTTGAACCCAATCCGGAAGACAAGGAAACTCCTGGATCAAGTATTGGGAGGAATTTGTTCCTTGGGGGACTTTATGAAACTAACTAGCATGGAGGGAAAAACCAAGAAAACCTCCTGGCGACGAGGGGACTCTTAATCCATGATCCATCTACCTCTGAGGATATTTCGCGTCAACTCTGTGGTCATTACTGGGATTTGAACTTTTGAATCCGAGTTCACCTCATTACAAGGCAACGTTCTATCCCCTAAAACATCACGCTCAACTTAAACAATTAACACTCAGCACACTGCAGTGCTAGCAAAAGCACCATCTGTTGAGGAATAAGAGAAGTATTTTTGTCATCAGTGGATATTTTATCACCAATTTTTTTTTTTTTTAAAATTTCAACACATACTGAGAATTTTGAGAATATACAGATAAACAGTAGATAGTCCCAAAATACAGGAGTCTTCGTTAAAAAACAGGAGACTAGGCAGGTATGCAATCACACCACTGACCAACATGGCACAAGAAAACTTCAATAGCTTTAATTCAGAAACAGAAATATAATAAAATTTAAGATTTCTATATACTTACCTTCATNATGTTGAGAATATACAGATAAACAGGAGATATTCATAAAATACAGGAGTCTTCATTAAAAAACAGGAGACTTGGCAGGTACGCAATCACATCACTGACCAACATGGCACAAGAAAACTTCAATAACTTTAATTCAGAAACAGAAATATAATAAAATTTGAGATTTCTATATACTTACCTTCATATTCAATAATGAATATGAATTTACTCTAAATATTTTGCAAGGATACAAGTTCTTTAATTTCTCTTGCATTTATTTATAATGAAAATTGTTTGTCTAAATTATGATAAATAATAAATAAGTCACCTGTATGAATCCCTACAATAATCAAATTATAAATACTGATTGAAAAGAACATCATGAATTTAATTTGCAACTGCAACAATTTCTGTTAAAACTGGACAATATTTTTTCTTATTAGAATAGATTATCTGTCAGTGATCTTAAATGTCTAACAAATTTCAACAAAAACAAAACAATTTACAAACTTTCACATAAATAAATAAAAACAGTTTTTTAATAGATACATGGATGCAAGCATTAAATTTTATTACCTCTTTTATGCTCTCATTGCCATCCATTATTTCGTATGTAACTCTTTTTTCAAACAGTAATTCGTATTCATCACTTATCTCATCTGAATTTGGATCGTCATTTACAGCAGATTCTTCACTTTGTTTAGTTTGATTTTTGACTGGTGATTCAGGAGATTTAATTTCAGGTTGAGAACTAATCGGGGTCCCAGATTGCTCAGCTCCTGTCGTTAGAAACCAAAATGATATTCAGTTAAGTTTAAATAGATACTAAAATTTGGAACAATAAAAAATAATAGCACTGCAATAAGTTCCTAATATTGAAATCTAGAAAGTAGTCTCAACCAAGGCTTGCAAATCAATTTGACAAAAATTGCTAAGATGCTGAATGGAGTGGATAAATGATACCAAAGGGGGAGAAAAAAAGAGGCTATATTCAATATGATGAAAATGTTATGCATATTGAAGAGCATGCATTAACCAATAATATTTAATGGTATTGATATTTTTCTCTTAATAATAATGCTTTAAAGTCTAAACATATTTTGCCTAAAGAACATTCGCCCTTGTATACAATATCTAAGTAAAGCATGCATAGATTCTTATGTCTCATACTTTACCTAAAGACATTGTCTGTAATATAAAGATGAAAGAAATTTATACACAATTTCCAAAAAACAATTAATGTTTAGAATGTTGATATTATACAATATGATAAAAAAGTGATAACTATTTACCTGAAATTTCATTGCTGAGAGTTGGTGGATTTTGTTTTATTATTTCAATGCAATCATTGAAGACTTTCTTAAAGCTGTCTAAAATGTCTTTACCCTATAAAATAAAAGTTATATTGTAGAATGGATATTTTTAATTGTAACAGATGGGCAATACACTTAGTAAGAAAATACTTGAACAGTTTTGTTTTAATATATTACTTTAAATCGAACTGCAAATTTTGTAGCTTCCACTTGATCATCAGAAAAATCAACTGCATTTCAACAGAGTGCATTTTCACTAGTTGATAGAGGAGCTAATGACATATCAGATGTTATACAATGATTGCAAGCAATGTTGTGCACTTGATCACGTCTTAAAATAACCAGGAATCTAGCTGCAGAGGAAGAAAAAAAACGATATTTAAAAGTAGTTATTAAATATAAATTAGTAGCAGTAGTTATTAAATATAAATTATATAATTTTTAAAAAAAAAATCAAACTCTGCTTATGCTAAACACTAGGTAGTAGTGAACTTTTTAGTGGTCTCGCCCTAACTACCATTAAATTTTTTTATGTTTCTTTCCTTGCTTATAGTAGATTTATTGCTCGGTACGCAGTTGGAGCATAGCAGGTTTGACTGCAATAAAGGAAATTTTCAGCAGTAAAATAACTGAATGTTGAAATCAAAAAAANAAAAAAAAAAAAAAAAAGCAGCAGTTTGTTTGAAAAAATTATGAATTATACTGTAACTGTATAATAATTATAACATTTGGATATTTGATGATAAATTCACAACCAACAAAAAGTGTTCAGATCATATCAAAGAAAGGGGCAGGAATGCAGCATTCATAATTTATGTATAATTACAAAACAATGTTTATAAATAAATTTTAGGCTATTGGTGACAGGTTGATTTGCTTTTAAGCAAAATATATATGTTAGTGTGAATAACCCAAATCGAAAGAACATTAACTTTTATTTGGGAATGTCAACAATTACATAGACATTTTGGTGAATTCTGAATTATTCGTTATGTCTGATTTGATATTAATTTATTCGTTAATATTTATATTTTTATTTGATATTTTGATATCCAATAAAAAAAACATCAGTGTTTGGAATACCTAGCAGTGGCACTTGACCTTAAAAAAGAAATCAGTGCAGGAAATTTCGGGCAAAGGCACTAAAATAGGTCTGTAATATATTTCGGACAATTACAAAAGTGACTGTGATTGTTGACATTTACGGTGAAAGTCGACAGCCACAAATTTCAGTATTTCACAGTAAGATATATTATTGCTAAAAGCTGCTGAACTTCAAAAAAACTTATTTAAACCATATATTTTGGCTAAGTACAATAAATATTTTCAAGATATATTTTTTGTACTTAATCAAAATACAATAAGTATGCATAAATATTGTTTTTTGGTTTCGTGACCATGATAATCAAAAAAGCACTCAAGATAAAAACTAGTAAAGTACTTAAATACACAAGTGGGCGACCTTTGTGCTAAAATACAAACTGAGGTAGACAACGTTAAAGAGCACAAAAATATTATTAAAGGCAGACAGCTGTTTCGGATGCTCAAAGGGCAACCTTCATCAGTGCACCAGAAAGAAATGAGAGAAAAATAGGGTAAATATATAGAGAAAGGTGACGTCGCAAGGGGATTAGAGCAACGGCCAATAGGAGGGAAGAGTGAAAGGATATTGACGAATGGGAAGCAAGGAGCAAAAAAAGGGGGGGGGGGAGTTAGGTTTAATCATAGATTTCCAAACAGGAGAAAGATAAGGAACGCTGGATAGGTCAATGACCAACAGTTTGGAATTTTTTAAAATATTACAGGACTCATAAAAATCTAAATCAAAAATTGAAGAACAATTTTGAATAACTTTAGAAGAAAAATCAAAATTATGATTAGATTTCCAACAATGTTGGGCAATAGATGAGCGTTTAAATTCTTGTTTTTTGACATAGGCTTCATGTTCCTTGACACGGCACTTTAAGGCACGCTTAGTTTGGCCAATATATGAATATGTCTGCTTTTAATAATATTTTGTGCTCTTTACGTTGTCTACCTCAGTTTGTAGTAAAGTACTTACTTTAAATTAAACTAATTTAAGTAAGTTAGGTTAACCCCAATAATTATAAAGTATTATATTATTCTCGTATTAAAACAGACTAAATGATCAATTGTATGCTTTTTAAAAAGAGTTTTATAAAATTTTGTTTTGAGAATAAAGAACAAAATTAGATCTGAATTTTTGTTGTACAGTGGAAAGTTCCATTTCTGAAATCATTAGGATTTCGACAAGCCCGGAAAATAGACTTTTCCGGATAATAGGTCTTTAAGGTAAACAAACATCAAAACATCCTTATTCAATAAAAAATAATAAGTAGACAATAATTAACTCCAATTTCAATCAACAACTAGTATATCCACGTGGTTGCTCTATTCTCACAGCTTTTGTTACAGATTTTCACATGGCTTTCAAAACTTTGATATACAACATACCTTAAATTCAAGACCACTCTTCATTTAGTAATTATTTCTCAATTAGCGATGATTCCACAGTGAATCTGTGTTGTTTTGATGATTGTTTTTTTATAGTCAGTAAAAAGGATTTTCATTTGATTTTAAATATCTCAATGCTTTAATACAATAATATTATGTTCGGCAAACTTATAACAACACATTTCACACTCAATTATTGACAAAACACCAGCAATCCCACATGAATTTGCGAACACATTTTTTGTCAGTTATTGCAACTGATTTTCATAGTTTTTAAATGCCACATTATCATAAACTGGAAACTAAATTCAGTTTATAGATAATCAAAAAAGAAGCTTTTGTAACCTTTTTGTTAAATTTCTACTGACACAGAAAATTTGGTGCACATAAAAGTAACAATTGAAATTAGTTAACAATTAAAAGAGAAACATTCCATAAAAATTTTGTTTAAATCAGTCTTATATTTTTGTTTACCAGACATCCAGCAAAAAATCCTAAACTAGCTTAGTAAAAATATAAACCAAATACAAGCAAACATCAAAATGGATGATCCAGAGGAAAGAGTTTTTAAAAGTTGTGTGTAAAGGCATCACATTATGTACGAACAAAAATTGAGAAAATATTTCTGAAACCAGAAATTGAAGGTAAAAGCAAAAGTCTTAGGGGAAGATAGAATGTCTGGGAAGATCTGAGGTTTATGACTCAAAAGTAGAATTAAAAGTTAGCTTTTTATAGTCTTATAAAATTATTTGTAACTATTATGGGATAAATACTCGAATTGACTAAAAAAATTTGGATACAAAATCAAACAAACAATTTGGATTAAATTCTTACAAAATCACCCCTAGCTTGCAACAAATTTAATATGGAAGAAAGTTTAATGAACAAAGTTTAATAGAAGAAAGTTTATTGAAACAGATACAGGTCTATCCATGCTATTCTGATTTGCTACCACATTACTGATAAATATATTAATGTTAAAACATAACTTTATTCTGTCCTAAATACAGTATTTATTGTCTCAATTTAAAATTGCTATATTCAATTAGAACTGCTACATTGTGGATGCCATGTCACATTAATGACCAATAATTGCATAGTAATACAAAATTGACAAATCAATGCAATGACAGTTAAGTAATCTTATTTATTTATAGGGCAGAACTATGATAAATAAGATGTACCAAAACAAAAAGATACGAGAATATTTTTTGTTAACTTACTCCTCTCATTATGTTTCACTATTTTGATATCACCAATTCCTCGTTCCTTCCATTGTTTTGTGGGACCATCGAAACGGAATAGTTTGGCCCGATGAACAAATATAGGAGTTCTTCACCAGATTTGACTTCTATTAGGTTAGGGAAAGGTATCACAGGTTCAAAATGTACATCAGGATTTTCTGGTACAGTATCATCTAAATTAAATATGTATTAATTAGAAAAATTTATTGAGTGAAAAGTATTAGTTAAGTGGAGTTAAATTAGTAAGTTGCAGGCCGTATTCATCATATATTAACAATCGCTATTAAATTCTAAAACTAACCAACGATTTGAGGTTTTTTTTTTAAAAAATGTGGAATTTGTTGACGTAAGCAACTGCTCTTTCGAGTACGCCAAGCCCATCCAGAATCAATTATCTAAAATGAGGCACGAAGCCATGTAGACCATAGAGAAACTAATACATTGAAGTTGCCATTTACACAAAACAAAAATACACAGTTGCAATAAAGCATAATCAAATAATAAATTTAAATTAAGTAAAAGATGTAGACAAGAAAGAATTATATTTCAAGAAATTTGATGTTCGATACGGCATTGCATTTAATTAACTTCACATTAATTTACATTCCAACTTATACGGGGAAGCTTAGCTCAACTTTAACACACCATTTTTCTCACAAACTATCAGCTCACGTCATAGGTCCCATGTGTGGGTATTCGTGATCTTCCTGAAGTACAAGTACCCAAGGGGGACTTATTTTTTCTTTAAACAGTGTAACAGTCATCAAAAACAGAGGCTAACTTTAGAAATAACAAAAAGCAGGAATTTGTATTATCTGTTACTGGATAAGAAATTAAAGAAGTTTAAATAAAGAATATCCTGCTGCTTCATTAGTTTTAATATAGAATATTAGGTGAACGGACAGAATTTAATTTCTTATTTTAAGTAGGAATGGTGAAAAGCTTCTTGATATTTAATCAAATATAATTTTTTTATACTAACAGGATCTTCAAATTAACACTCGGTACCACTGTAGAAACATGAAGCTCACAACAAACAAAAAAATTCCTAACTTATGTCCATCTGAATTAGAAATACAAATTAGCCACTTTATGATTCATTGTAAAATATAATTATTTAGAAATGAATGAAATTAGTCTGTTCTTGAGCAATTTTCTTTCTTTCGCATGGAGAGAAAGCAAATTTACCAACAATTTAAAAAAAGAATTATAAAAATACAAAATTGTCTTATATAGTAAGCAAGACACTTGCACCTCCAATGCTTTAATTTCTTCTCTAAAACTTTATGCTTATTGCAATCATTTTTTAACAAGTAAATATCTGGATCAAATAAATGAAATTAATGAAGTTTTAAAAGGCAACAGATTTACATAAGATCATAATTAGATACAATATTTTACCACAGAATAATTTCTGCTAGAATTGCATAAAAACTGAAATTTAAAAATGGATTTAACTTATTTTAATGTGCCTGCATTTTCTTTTATTGAAACAATGTTTTATTTGTAGAACCTTGTCTTTATATTATATAACCATCTTTTTTATTGAAATCAAAACAAAAAATTTCAAGTTTACACTTTTTTTATTTATTTAGGTAGCACATTCTTTATTGCAGAGTTAAAAAAGAACAAATTAAATTCAATTAATTGGCAGGATTTCTTAAAATTTAAATTTATTTTAGTTTTTTAATTCAATAAAGTAATTCCTTTCTGAATATGGGTCTATAAAATACAGACAATTTCGAATTTGGAAAACATAATTGACTAACAATCACCAAGGATAAAATTCAATTTAATATGCATTAAATGAATTAAATTACTATTTTGACTGCAAATAAAGCATTCATAAAAAATTAATGATAAACGAATGAGAAGTAAATGCATACTAGGTAAATTTTAAAATGTCTACACAACTATTATTTTGATAAGAATTAAATAAATAAATAATAATAATAATTCATAAATTTCCCTATTTCCACTATCTCTTTTTGAGATGGTGATGTTAAAGTCTAACTGTTTATGAAGTCTTTTAAAAGTGCACACTCAACTTGCATTTTTCTTAATGCTGTACTTAAAAAAGAAATCTTAATTGAAATAGAAACAAACCATTATCAGCCTCTCCAGGAGTCTGCAAACTGGAAAAAATATGTGTTCTGGCTCCAGCAAAACCATGTTTTCCACCACTTGGAGAAGTGAAAAAACTAGATTAACTAGATTATTTAGAAACTAAATCTGTAAAGGAAATTGAACTGACGGAAGAAGAGCCGAAAAATGCAGTTTCTTCAGGCTTAGTATTTTGAGCTTCCTTTCTTTCTGTTTTTTTCTTCCTGCACTTCGATTTCTCCTAAATTTCATAAAAGTAAAGTATTTGTAGTTTTTATTAGTTTAAGCTTACTTACAAATACAATGAGATAAAGAATCTGCACGTTTGACATATTGTTGCTAAACATGGCACTTACAGCTAAGAAATTTAGCGCGAAAACTTACTGGGGTCTCATTTTAGAAATTTTAATTAGGGGTTAAAATTTCTATGCAAACACATAATTATATATTTTTTATATATTTTTTTACATTATATTTCATTTCAATATTTAGTAATTTTGTTTTTTTATAATTTCCATGTGATTAACACTAGACAAAATACATATTAAAGGAACACCATACCCATATTTTGTCTTGATTACTCATAACAAAATTCAAAGAAAAAAAATGAAGGAATGAAAGAGGCAACTTCGCAAAGCACATGCAAAAAATGATAAAATCGAAACTGTTTCTGTGAATAACATTAAATTTTAAAAAAATTATTCCAACACTTGGTTTGCCTAGGTTTACTCCTTTATTAGTGCCAATAATGAGGTGTAAATTTTAAAAAAAATTTAACATATTCTGTTGAATTGTTTTATTAATATTTTGGATTAACTCATTTATGCCTGCAAAAAAGCTTTATTTTTGAGTTATGAACTCACAAAGTTCTAATTCTGCATTAGAAGTTGCTGTTTATTAAAATTGAGTGAAGTGCAAGTTTTGTAAATCAAAAAGCATCTTCAAACCCTCTCTCCCAAGAAAGGGGTGAAATTCTATTTAATATAATAAAAATATATCCCCCCCCCCCTACAAAATAAAACTAGTATTCTATAAATTCTAACCATAGAGATTTAAAATTTATAAAATGGAATGTCAAGAGGAATAATTAGACATGTACCTCTGCATGGCTTGATGGTATCAGTGCATCCCACACAGCCAGTAGAACATTCTTTATTTTCATATAAATAAAATGTCTTGGGCAACAGCTAGGGCTATTTTTTGTGGACTTGAAAGAGCTTCAAACACTATTTGAACATCTAAAATAAAAGGAAAGAGGTGTAGAGTTAAAATACAATAAATTTTTAAAAAAATGTTAGCTTCAAAATTAACAATACTTTTTTCTTTAAACCATTTTTGAATTAATATGAAATGTAGTTCATTAAACCTTTTTTTATTTTTTAAGAAAATAATAAAACAAGTTATCCAATTTTTATTTTAATAAAGCATTATTCAATTTTTTAAACACAAAAATAACTTATATTTCATCAATTTAAAAAATGCTAAAAACCATAACATACTTGCAACAAAATTTGAATTATATTTAAAGACATGCTAATACATGAAATAATTATTCTTCCTCATCATTTCAAATACATTTGAATTTGTCCTTTAATTCTTTACCAAAGAATTTGATGTAAAAAATCAGATATACATGTTATAATAATTAACCGCTGAAATTTTGTTCAATTTGACTTTAAACACAATTCTTTTTTTTTCATTCTCTATTAGTATCTCATTCTTTCAAATAAATAATAGTGCTAAAAAAACTACATAACATTAAATACAAAATTAGCAAGATTAAAATTTTAAAATAAGATTTTTATTGCAACTAAAATATCTACATTTTTTCATCAACATTGTGAGTATTCACTGTAATTACTGATCCTAAATAAAATTAAAATTTGTGATATAAATTTTTCTAAGGTCTTGTAAAAGGAAAAACAAAAATTCCATTTTTCATTACTCTTTTCACCTTTATACTTCAATCTTTCTTTCTTCGTGTGTTTTAAAAGATAAAAAAAGCATAAAAAATGTATCCTTTTCTTTAAAAGAAAAAGACAGAAAAAAAAACATCGCTAACTGTATAATACTTTTATCTATGAAGAAATAGTCTTCTACATTTGTAAAAAGTCGTCATAGTTGTCCAAGGTGAAAAAAACTTGCAAATAGTCACTTTTTAGTAGCTAGTGACAACCTTACTACTGAACAATAATATTTTGCAGACAAATCAATGAAGCAGTATAGTTACTATATATTCCCGAATATAAATACAGAATTTTTGGAAATTTTCTTTAAAGCTCATGTGGGGTAATTGGCTAATATATGGATCAGTCGAAAAGAAAATGTCTAAAAATAATAATTTTATAAAGAAGCACATATACAGTACCCTACAATAATGGAAAAGACTTTCAGTTTTTTACTTTTTTTTTAAATTTCTCAAGAAATACTAAAGGGATTATTTTGTAACTTAAGAGGTGTTTAGTTAAGGTAATTCTTCATACTTAGCAATAAGATTTAAAGCTTTCAGCGGTTTGTAAGACCTACAATAAATTACAAAAGAAAACGAGTATTTTTGAATGCCATATGGCAAAAAATCAAGCAAAAAGCTTGCAATTTGTATAGCTTACTTAAGTTGTTATTTTGAATAACTACATAAAGTTTTGCAAGTCATCCTGTGGAATTGACACTTTGCACACAATTTTCAATTATCTTTAATTTGTCGCCCTTTAAAATGGCTTCTTGTATTTATCAAGCCAAGTTTAAAATTTGGTTTTATTAACATCACCTGTGATAGTCAAACTTGTCTACAATGACGATTTTTTTAAATTTGGATGATCTGGAACTTAGTACTAATTTAAATTTTATTTTATTAACTCTTGTTGCCTACAACCATATTAAGGTTTATAGAAACTTTGCTTTATACTTTACAATATTTTTAACTACGGAATTAAATTCTCTTTTAGATATAAATTGATATATTTTTATTTTTGCTAATCTAATATATAAAACTGAAGATAATTAACAATGAATATACAACTAACCACTAATAAAACGAATTCTTTTTAATTAGAGCTAACTTAACTAATTAAGTCAACAAATTACTGACATAAAATATATATTTAATCCCATGGTAAACTTTTTTGGGAAAAGTATGCATAGAAATAAAATTAAAATAGCAATAGGAAAAGCCATAAAAAGTAAACGAACCATTATCTTCAGGCTGTGCAGTTTGAGCATTAAAACCTGAAACAAGGAAAAGAAAAACTCATGTTTAAACAAATATCAGTATTCAAAATACAGCAAGAAATTTAAGCATAATGTTATTAAATTAAAAAAAAAAAATTTTGTTTAATTTTTTAAAAAGGGAATTAAAAATTAAATAAAAACTAGTTTACAAGTAACAAAACTTCTAGAAGTTTTGCTTTATCATTAAAATGTAACATATTTTTCAAAGATAAAATTCAAAAATAAACTATTAATTTCTGTATTACTCATGAATGATATAGCATAACACACATTTATTTATAATAATTTAACATAATTAATATAATAATTTAATATTGGCAAAAATAATAATTATTAATATACTCATCAACAAAATTTAGGATACAAATATTTTTAAAGCAAAAATTTATATAACAATTTACATTCTAGCTGGAGTGGAGAAATTCATAAAAAGAAACGACAGTATATCCTCTAATAAAAGTAATATATAGTGAGAACAGTGATTGTGATAGTCTTACTTGCTTTTTTTTAATGAAAATAGCAATATATATTGATTTGGTTCACAAAATATTATTGGATTGAGATTTAGCAGAATTAAACATTGGTAAAAAGTATGAAAACTGTTGAAAAATTTTAATTAGGTAATAAATGAAATTAATTTAAAAAATATATATAACTTAATACATAAAAAAACATAAAATTTATAAGATAAACTTAACAAAATTTCTAACAAGCTTACCAAATCCAAACTTCACGCCTGTTCCAAAAACAGGTTTAGAATTAGTGCCACCAAAAGACGTCTGACCAAAAAAGCTATTATCAGGCTTTTCTTTAAATGAAAAAGAGAAAGGCGAATTATTTGAGGTTTCTTTAGCTTCTGCCTGTGCTATAGCTTCAAAACGAGCTGAAAGAGATCCTGGAGTGAAATTGGAGTCTACATTTTTTTTTTTAAGTCGTTTCTACTTTGAATGAGAAACTCTCTAATGAATCAGATGAACTATTAGGCTTCTGGTCTTCAACTAAAGAAGGAGCATTGTCAATAGATTGTTTCAATTCCTGAGCTAGCTCTGCAGTTTTGAATCTAATGGCAAACAGTTCTGGTGTAGCTTCATTTTCAGAAAAGTTTGTCGCTGCCCATGTAACAGATTTATCACCACGTCAATCAAATTTAAGGAATGATTTAAGCAAACTTTCGAAACCTAAAAATAAACAATATTTAAATTATTTTTTTTTAATTTTTAATACTCAATAAATTACATTTTGTAATGATTGCATTATATTTTTAAGTTACTAAAAAAGTATAACTTTGAAATTTTAAGCAAATTTTCCCTAAAGTATATACCTCAATCTTCTAAACCAGGTAGATGAACTATTTTTAGATAGATGAATGCTGTTGACTTTTCCTACTTAGAACTCTGTTCCATTTTATTAATAAAAAATTTATACCAGAAATACCCACAAATATATGTATGTTTTAATACACTAATATTTATGGCAGGGGCTCGCTCAAGTTTTGTGGCTCCTTTAATCCTAATATTAAAGTTTCAGGCCCCTTTCATTATCGATACTATTTTTAAAAAAATTATAAAATATATTTTCACAGTTACACTGATCCAAATAGTAATATGGTGGTTAATAAGAAATAATGGGAGGCAAAAACTGATTGTCATATGGATGACAAAGACTAATTGTTAATTTCCAAATCAGTCAGCACTTTAAAAATTAACTACACAAACATATCCTGAATAATTAATCTGTGAAGGAATGGAGCGCGAAAATGTCATTATTCTTTTCAACTAACATTTCCCTTTCCTAGTTATCGAATTAATCTCAAAATTAGGCGAGGGGAGCAAAGAATATATTCATGAAAATTAGATTGTTTTATATATAACTCTAAACAGTTAAAGATATTATAATGATGGATTGCTGTTGAATTAATTGCAAAAATTTTGAATGGAACAATGTTATAATTACACTTTTTTTGTAATTCGTAGTGAAAACTGATATAGTAAAGAAAAAAAAATATTTTGGAAAAGGAAAATTTAAACGCTTTTTTAAAAACAACTACCGAAAAAAGTACTATTGAGGGCTTTTAAAAAATGAAAATCAAGACGCTCCTTTAAGCACTCTCCTTAAGTTATCCACCCTGTTTTAGCAATAAGAGTTACGAATAAATACATAATAAAAGGACTATAGCTTGTCATATAACTTTTTGAGAAGTTTTCTGAATAATGATTTTTTTAAGGAAAATCGATAAACAATTTTGGCTTTAATTCTTTGTGTAATTATTGCTAAATCAATTATTAATCACATTTTTTTTCTTAATAAATAGTACACAAGTGCATATTTTATGATTATCTTTAAATGGGAGGTTTATGTTATTTTAAATAGAGACTCTTAGTAAGAAAGGACCCATACAATCGGAATTCCCATGTCCTAAGGACCCCTAATTTCTGAAATCTAGCAAAATCACTGTACAAATACATAAAGTCCTTTTTTGTGAAACAATATGAAGAATAAAACAGATACTTCACAATAAGTTACCATTGATGAATATTAAAATCATATAATACTTCTTATTTTATTTTAAATTTTATGAAATATTACCTGCTCTCTGTGCATCAATAAACGTGTTTTTTTGGTCTTATCATCCAACAATATTTTTACATCACCAAGACCTCGTTCTTTCCATTCTCCATCACAAAATCGATAGAGCTTTGCTCTTTGAGTGAATAAGGCATTTTTACTTTATTCTCCTGTCTTAACTTCAACCTACGAAAAATATTCAAAAATAAAATTAACGGATTCGTTAGGTGTAAGGTCATCCTCTTAAAAGATTGTTATTAATTTGAAAAACTAATCTATTGGAATTGCTATTTCAGTAATTCAATTATTTAAATTATTTAAAAAATAGAAACATTGAAGAAGCTATAATTAATACACTATAACCACGCATCACAAGTTTTGCAGCAATAGGGCTACAGCTTATTTTTACTGACATTAGGAGGCCACTTCCGAATTCCACTTTCTGTTCACCAGTACTGCAGTCAGTTTTCCTTTTGCTCTTTTGAGCACACAAAAGCATAGAAAGAGTCGTGGTGGCTCAGGGAATAGAGCGCTCGCCTCTCAAAGAGGTGCCCAGAGTTTGAATCTCAACAATGACTGAAACCAATTCTGCACCTAGCTCGCACCACCCACAGTGCTGATGCAAAATTTACTCAGTGTTAGACAGATCATGGGTTAGAGTCCCCTTGCCGTCAGGATAGATTTTTGTAGTTTTCCTATCCATGTAACGCAAATGTGGATTAATTCCATTAAAAAGTTCTCCCCGAATGCAAATTTCTCTTAATACTTGATTCAGAAGTTCCCTTGTAAATAATCCATATATTAATGATTTCATTACTTTTAAATATTCCATGGATTAACAATTTTTAAATAACCAATATGGTTTCACATATTTCTTAGTTTTAAAATTTATTTGCAAATAAATTTTCGTGATTGGCAAGTAACACTTATTGTACTTTTTGTATTAGTTTAGGAGACAACCAGTTTAATAAAGAAAGCTAAATTTAAAAAAAAAACTAGTTTCACACAAAACTTTATGCATTATAGATCTAGCACACACGGACGCATAAATTTTAAACTATTTGGAAACACAATTACATTTTGTAAGACATCCTTGCAATCATTTTTTCACTATCTTTAAGCTAATGAACCTTCATTATTATACACGAGAGTATCAATTACAAAGATGGTAGCCCAAAATACAAAAATTAAGGTCTGAATTGCCTCTAAATTTAGGGAAACTGATTCTTTAATGGGAGCAATTTCTAAAATACCAACATGACTTTGAAAGATATACAATTACTAATAGTTTCAGTAAATCCTGCACTTAAAGAAACATTTTTAACAGAACTCAGATTTTAAAAAAAATATATATATATGCAAAAATGCCTTGTTTTATAATAAAAGTAGGAGAAAATAGTATAAATAAGGTAAATCGTCAAGTAGTAGCAAAATACGAGGAATGATCTCTTGAGAAAATCAGCAGAGTAGGATATAGTGATGGAGGGAGAAAAGAGCTTTTATATATTTCTCCCACATGGAATGTTCTATAGTACCATCAACTCAAGGGTAATTTTCACTAACAATGGAAGTAAACCAATACCATATTTAACACGCTATAAAGACTTAGACGTTCATTTTGTTATATTCCTTATTTCATGACACATAACAAAATTTCTGAATTTGAAAATTCTTCAATTCCTTTCCTGATAAATAATATTTATTCTTACTGTTAGCTTCAACAAAAATTTGGAAAATACAAATATTTCAGGACATTTACTGAAATTTTTAATAATTAAGGACACTTAAGAAAAAAAAGGAAATTAAGGACAACTTTGAGCTTTGCATTTACTACACTAAATAATAACAATAAAAACAGTCATGGTATCATAACACATTATTGGATTGCTAAAAAAAT